CACACCCTTGAATGAGCGCGGATTTTTAGTTCATTTACTGTTTTTACCATCTGAGAAACTGAGAGGCGGCCAAAATCAGATTGTAAAATGGACTGAATAAAGCTCTTTACGAACTTGACGTGAGATGCCAACTGAAATATGTCCTTGCCTTGAATCGCTGTCTCATGCACAAGCTTTGAGCAATATTGTAAGTAACTAATATATTTTTAACTAGCAGAATAATAATGCATCACAATGCACATAGTCAACGCATTCTCACCCCAAGGCGTCACCTTTGACCATGCTTCAATATTCAATCCTACGGCGTCATCTAACTGACGCTAAAGAAAAGCGTCAGTTAGAGGACGCGGTTAGGTTTAGGTGTGGGGTGGGGGTAAACAGAAAGTCTACAATATAGTCACTCAGTGTTGCATTAATCTTTGGAATGTAGCTGGTCCATTGCACAGTCCAAACGGCATACGATGGAATTCAAATAGCCCCAGAGGAGTTGTAAAAGCAGTCTTTGGGTGATCGACAACATGCTCCCCCACTTGCCAATAGCCAATCACCAAATCAAATGTTCTAAACCATTCAACTTGAGTTAAAATGTCAATGTTTCTTCTATCCGGGGAAGAGGGAATGCATCCTTATCGGTAATAGCGTTCAATTTTCTGTAATCAACACAAAAGCGCCAACTTCCATCCTTCTTCTTGACCATGACTATTGGGGCTGCTCATGGAATCTTACTCTCAGGAATCTTACTTCCCTTTCCAACATACCTGCCAGGTGCAGTTTCATCTCCTTGTACATCATTGGGGGTAAGGGGCGGAACTTTGGTTAGGTACTGGTTAGGTAACTTAGGTACAGTGCCAGTGTAAATCCTATGCTGGACAGTCTCATTAAACCCCAGGTTGTCCTCATTCTTAGAAATCACTTCACTCCACTTCCTCATAAATGCATTAAAAAATGGCGTTGTTGGTCAGTTAAATCAGTTCCAAGCATCGATGGACTCATGCCATCAGCAGCTACCTCCTCTTCAGGGCTTCCAGCTTCCACCACACGAACATCGACGACCCCATCAGTGCTCAGGGTCAAATCAAGATCTCTTTGGCCATAGATATCCACACCAGATCTTTCGTAAAGCCGACCAAGCTTCTGGTACCGGCGTACAGACACTCTACTGTATAGGGTTGCAAATTACACAATCTGATTACACAATCCTACCATCCTTAACGATAGCCACCACCCGGGTGGCGGCCAACCCATCTTGCTCTAGTAGGGGTTCCACCAATCCACAGTAACTGCGGTTCTGTCAGCCCATTCGGACACGGCCCCACACATTGACCTCGCTCTAGGGTGTAATCCATCTCCTGCGATGACTAGCTATCCACACATAGCCCAGGAACCCATCATCTTGAGTCCAAGCACCAATGTGTTGACATGTTGCCATGGCCCGTTCCCATACCTGCTGTTCTTAAGGGTTCTGAAACAAGGGGCAACCTCTCCATCTCTCTCTCGAAGCCAACAAGGAATTGAATTAAACTGCAATTCATCGAGAGGCCGCATGAGGCTGGCTGCAAAAGCGAGTCAAATCTGTATCTCCCCCAAGTTAAAAGTCTATATTCACCGCAGAAAAAAAAAACATGTTTACAGCCTGGTGGCAAATAGTTGTTTTGGTCTATATTGCTAATTTTGCCCTTTATGACGACTGTGAGGGGGGTGAATTTTTTTACAACTCATCTGTTTAAATTATATTTAAGCCTTAAAGTTCTGCATAATTAAGGGCGTGGACACTTGAGTGACAGGTGGATTCTTTCCACCGCTTTCAATGCTAGTCGTTTGTCTGCTGTCTGTTAGCGTCATCCTCAGCTGTGTTTGTGCTTTTTCCGGAATTATTTCATACAATTTAATACATGTTTTATACCTTCGCCCGTGCACGCCGTTGGATTCTGTTGTGTTGAGTATGGAGAGATCGACCAGCGCTGTTTCCCTCGCATGCACTAATGGATGTCTGATGATTTCAGTGCTTTCTCTCAGTCCATGCAATAGATGCACACCCTTGAATGAGCGCGGATTTTTAGTTCATTTACTGTTTTTACCATCTGAGAAACTGAGAGGCGGCCAAAATCAGATTGTAAAATGGACTGAATAAAGCTCTTTACGAACTTGACGTGAGATGCCAACTGAAATATGTCCTTGCCTTGAATCGCTGTCTCATGCACAAGCTTTGAGCAATATTGTAAGTAACTAATATATTTTTAACTAGCAGAATAATAATGCATCACGATGCACATAGTCAACGCATTCTCACCCCAAGGCGTCACCTTTGACCATGCTTCAATATTCAATCCTACGGCGTCATCTAACTGACGCTAAAGAAAAGCGTCAGTTAGAGGACGCGGTTAGGTTTAGGTGTGGGGTGGGGGTAGGGTACACGCGATCCTAGGGCGTCATCTAACTGACGCTAAAGGGCGCCTAAAGCGTCAGATATTGAAGCATGTCCAAATGCTTCCCAAGGCGTCAGTTAAGTGACGCCTTGGGGGTGAGAATGGGCTGACATAGTTGACTGCTTGTATGTTGTGAGAAATGTGTGTGATCTGTGTTATGTACTTGTATACATGCCCCTTGTGAGATTAATAAAGTTGATAAAAAAGTAAAGTAAATAGTCTCACTTTTAGTTACGTCTTAACTATTATAATATTTCGAATGGCAAAACATGAACTTTAAGCATTGGCTTTACTTTTTCAATCAGCTGTCAATTCAGCATGAGGGCAGTAGCATAGCATTAGCACCTCAGCTCCACCTGCGTCCTGCCTCTTTGCCCATTTTAATTTATCCGGTAGTGACGAGAGGTGACGCACTCTCAAGTTGGCGTTGGTCCCACTGCACGCAGAATCTCCTCAAATCCAGACAGTATAGTTTCCTGGTAAGACACAAGAAACAACTACCAGTATTTCCAGTCCAATGCAAGCAAAATTCTAATTACCACTCTCTCTTGTGCACACAAATTCCTGTTGTGTCTGTATATATGATGCACGAAATAACACACAAGACGAGATGACTATGCAACTCACACCAGGCTTTTCTGAACAAAGCTCGAGGGGGACAGGCATGACTAAAACAACCCAGAGCGAGCATTCCGAACAGACCTCAATAATGGAACAAAGATATCTGCTCTGCTAGGCAGATATATAACAATACCCACACCATACAATATACACTACAAACCAAATAAATCACATCACCGCAAAGAGAAACAAGAGCTATGCATAAGTTATGCTGGCAGTTAGTTCCTAGTCTATCTTCTGGATTAGATGTAAAATGGTCACAATATCCCTCAAACGATCTTCATGGGTTTGTACTCACAATACGACTGGGTAGCAATTCCCACTACCAAATCAAGTCGATTTCCAGCATTGTGCAAACCTCCGTTGCCATCTCAACAACCGCTGTCTCACTGTCTCGGAACAGCACTCGTTGATTCGCTCATCTTCAAACAGCTTCACCATGGTTGTTCTGTGCCACAATCTCGGACTCGTTCGTTTCCCGCACAGCTGTGAAGGCATGTTAATGCAAGGTTATAAGTGTTCGGTTATCACCGTTCAATGTTCCTTCTCAGACGCTCGCACCTGTTCACAACACACTCACAGCAAGACAATGAGTTGCATGGAAATGACGCAGTCCAAACAGCACACCGCTCAGTCTCTCAAGCGCACGTTCTTAAAGGGCAACAGTCTTTTCCTGAAACAGCCTATGACACTAGGTCACCATTTAATCGTATTAGGAAATGAGCATGACAATACAAATCACTTAAAGTTGCAGTGTGGGATTTTTAGCGACATCTAGCGGTTCAGTTGTGAGTTTGCACCAGGTTTGCACTAAGGTCTCAACCCACTGCTCACCCCTCCCTTTCAAAGAAGCTACGGTTTCTAAAACGGGACAAACATCTCATTGGCTGAGACAGCAGAGAATAGCCAGAGTAAGACAAGAGTGTGTAACATTGTCATTGTTTCTGTACACCAGTCCATTATAAACCACATCATGTATACAGTTTACAAAGCCATAGTCAGGTGAGGATCAAGGGTTTTAATATATAATTTAATATAATAATAGTAATCAGCTGATTGTCTCACAAACGTAGCCAGCAGCACATTTCTCCCCAAGTAGCAAACCCATAATACAGCGAGGGAGAACCACATGAAACTATGCAGCTCTATATTTTTTCTAACAGGGTAGTAAAAGTTTATCTGGCTAATATGAACTGTTACTGTGGACAGTACTGAACTGGTTAAATCTTAAAGCCTTGTTTAAACTCGATGCGTCCACATCCAAAGTCCAAAGGTGATTGTAACAGCACGCACCTCCGCATCCTATAGACACCATTTACTACACACAATAGGCTTTTTCTCTGATTTTAAAAAGTCTTTGTGATCGACTTAGATCTCTTATAAGATTGACGGGTTAGTGATTCCTGTAACATACTGTTTTGCGTTCAATGACATATACTAATCAGCTGTCTCACGAACGTAACAGCACATTTATCCCCACATAACAAACCCATAACACAGCGAGGGAGAACTAAGTTACATGAAACAATCCCAACTACATATTTTACACCACTCACAAGGGAAAAGTCACTACTCACTGAGTTCAGGGCCAGCTTCTAGCGTTCCGCTGCTTCTCTTTCAAGGTAGTGATGAAACGCGTTCTGTAGCGCTGTTTGTTCACGTTCAGCTACGGTAGAAAGATGATGTCACAGTATGGTGACCTTCATAGAAGGGAATTCCCGCGGTTATGGAGATATAAATGTCTCATTGTAAGGTAATAAAAACTTTACGGTTTATTAAGAAAGTTCTTTATACACCACTGAAAACATAGTTCTGTTAATAGATACTCAACTTTTTTTACACATTGCACCTTTAAAGGGCATATTGCAGGTTAGAGGACTCAACGAGTCAATGCATAGAAAAATAATGTAGGAACTGGATTTTCTTTAAAATATACTTATATATACTCTACAGAAGCTTCTGGAGTCGTTTTTGAGAAGGAAATGGGCGTGACGCAACGACCGGGAGAGCGGTTGATTCAAACAACAGAAAAACAATGAGGAAATACTTGTATGACGGACCTGAAACCATAAAGTTATGAGCCTGCTACAGTATATATGCTGCCAAGAGAGCAGGGACAGGCCAGGATAACGTTACACAGAACGGTCAAAGACAAATTGAGTTGTGGTGTGAGGAGACCCAGTGGAGAACAGGACAGGTGTCTTTTGGTGAGAGACGTGCTTATAGATGTACACGTTCACTAACGATATACACTGTGCTCACAATATTGTACAAATTATTATGATCCTATAACAGGCCAGCAGACATTAGTATGTTTAGGGTAGATTTATACTTTTGAATGTATAAAAATTATACTTGAGTATATTTCTATTGTACTAAAAGCATATAGGTACATTTTTAATACATACTTTTCAGCTGGTTTATAACATAAACAGAAAAACACCATTTGATGCCATTGGTATAGTATACGACGATCAATATCCTTGCTTCGACATCCCATGTTGAACTCCATCATACCGCCGGGATGACAATCATTTGATCTGAAGTGAACGCAACACACGACCGCATTTTCCGAAGCCGATGCGGAAGAGCAATCTCGTCTCTTGTCTTCACCTGCACAAACCGCACCAGGAATGAAAGATAGGCTATAGCACTGTCCCTATACTTGTAATGGGAACTTGTGGACTCGATCTTGAAGTCCTGACAGGCCAGAGTTTTTGCAACCTCCACAAACACAATAATTTACCATGATGATGATAAATTAAAATACAAAAACTACCGAAATCACACTGACTGCCGACTGCTCTCACTGAACACCAGCCGACTCTGCACTGAGCCGAGGCTGAGCAGTCCAAGAAACGCTCACTTTATCTACTAAATTAGTGCCCTTATATTGTTTTAAAACATTTTAAATCCTGCATTAACTATTCATATGGTATTTTCATACAAGGTTATTTATAAATTTAGTTTTTTTTCAACCTGCAATATGCTCTTTAATGAACAAATTGTAGACCATGAAAATGTATATTAATGCATCTCAATTCTCAGTAGTTCATATGACTCAAGCACTATTCCAGTTTCAGAAGGCATATGATAGTTCTGTGAGAGAAACAGATAGAAATCTAACTATTTTTCCCATGAAAAAAATTGTCACCATTTACTGTTCCTTGTTTTCCTACGGAGCCCCCTAGTCCCACTTTGTCTAAAAGATTAATTATAACTATCTTTATAGAGTTATCTTGAGGCCACGAGATAGTTATAATTATTTTATTTTATTTTTTTGACAAAGTGGGACTAGGGGGGCTCCGTATTTTCCCCTATTAGATAGGCTTACAAGGTCAAAGTTAAATGTCAGTTATAACAGGTGACAGACAAAAATTTAAGTAACTCACCCAGCACTGTTTCTGGTAGAAAATACAAACAATGTCTAAACCAAGTTAATATGAATACTTATTTCTGTTACTGATCTTTGTTGTTACAGAATATTTTTCAAAGTGATTGGTATGCCATGCAGCTGAATGCAGTGATGCAGGAGATGTTCCGAGATATCAAAGGAGTAATCTACTTCGATGTCTGGCAGATGACGTCCTGTCACTATTTACCTGAAAATATTCACCCAGGTCCTGTTATCATTGCTAATGAAATTGACATGTTGCTCTCATTTATCTGCCCTGCCTGACACAATAAAATAAAATTTGTTATAATACTTACTTTGTTATAATATACCAAGGAATGCATGTAACTACAAAAATGAGCATCTATAAGAAATCTCTTGTATGCATATTGTTAAAATTACCTGCTTAATGTAAACCTGTACAATCTCAAAATTAACAAAATTAAATTCTTTTTTTTTTTTTTAATCGCACCCTTAGGTTCCACAAACTGAGTTAACTTTCAGGTTATGTAAATGGCCATTGTGGTACATTCCGTGGTTATTTAATTGTATGTTATTTTAAAAGTGTATATTGTGTTAAATGTTGTGAGCTAGGGCATTCCAGAAAGCAGATTATGTGAAATTACCGGTTATGTTTAAGGGTAAGTAAGAGGATAACGTCTCAGGTTACGTATGTAACCCTGGTTCCCTGAGAGGGAACGAGACGCTGCGTTTGAACACGGTGGGAACGCTCTGCGTGATTGCGCCGTGAAGCCTCTGTACAATCAGTCCAATGAGAGAGCAGGACGTCATGTGACGTCATAGACCAGGAAACTATAAAGTACCCTTGAAATCAGACTGTGACAGCTTCTGAAAAGGCCTGAAGCAAGTCGATCAGGGCATGCAGGAAGTATGGCAGGCAGAAACGCAGCGTACAGCTTTCTTAGGGAACCAGGGTTACATACGTAACCTTCGAGCTGCGTTTGAACACGGTGGGAACCCCATACCAAATATGCCATGCTGAGAAATGCCCATTCTGTGTGAAGATCAAGCGCACACTATGAAGCAAGCAACCTAGCCCTGGGGGTGGAGAGATCTAGGTCATAAAATATGACAAATGTATGCGGTGAGGACCAACCTGCCGCATTACAAACGTCCTGAAGGGAAACACCCGAAATCAAAGCCTTAGAGGCAGCCATACTCGTAGTCGAATGGACACGGACATCCATAGGTGAGGAATGTCTGACCACATTATAAGCAATAGAGATAGCCTCAACTATCCACTTGCTCATCACTTGTCTCGATGCCGGAAAACTAGGGGTGTAATGATTCACTCGTTTTCTCGATTCATCGATTACAAATCCTGACGATGCATATGCATCGATCCTGAAACATGTATTTTGATTCTATAGTGATTCAGTGGTTTAAAATATATAAACACAACCTTAAAGTGTTCCTGGTACAAGCTGCCTCACGCATTGGCCGTGAGATCCGCATTTGATTTGTTTCACGCGCTCACACACCCCTGATTTCTCACGCTGAAGCCCGGTCGGTCAAATGCCTGAAAGATGAGTTTATCTTTTTACCTGTTGAGCTACTCGTGTCGTGATCGGCTAGTTATACCGCAAATTAGTTAAAATCTCCCAGAATCTTGAGCGAGTGTGCATACGAGATAGAGGTTGTGCTCCAAACCGCGTATCGTGCGTGCACGCACTCGGCAGAGAGGGAAAGCGAGCGAGAGACCAGCTTGCGTGTACGGAGAGTCTTTCCATGTAATAAATGCCCGCCCTTGAATAAAGTGTGCTTTTACTTCACAGCTCAGGACGGGTAATGTCAATGGTATGGCCCATTTCAGTAAAATCTCATCTTAAAGAAAATAACTGTGACATTTCCATGCAATGAAAGCGTTTTATTCATAGTGCCCACGCAATGGCATGGCAGCTTTATCAATGGCTTGAGCGGTTTGCCTCAAAACTATTGCTTTCTCGATAGAGATCTGGAGAGCTCAATGATGGACTGCTCAAAAATCTGTACATGAGAGCTATGGGACCGAGTGCGAGCAAAATCCAGTGAAAAGATGTTAACGAGTGCACTGAGAGGATGCAAAATGAAACTGATGAAAAGGTCTCCATTAATTTGTGCATGTAATTTAATGCAATACTTTAAAACCCTTTTTCAAAAATTGGCTACTTAGGTTTCTACAAATGCTAATTTGCAGGCCATTTAATATTTTTAATAATAATATATTTATTAAAATTAAAAACAAACATGAACTAACATTAACAATGGACAAAATCCACTATCTGACCCCCGAAGGCCGCTGTGTAATTCAAACCCAGACAAAGACCCATTGGGTGAAGCACTGAAATAATACTATAATGCATATAAAAAATTAAGAATCGAATCGAATTAATCGAATCGCATCGAATTTGGATGTGAATCGCATTGAATTAAATCGTTCTGAATTTGCACAAATCGTTCTTAAATCGAATCGAAAACCTATGAATTGTGAATCGAATCGATTTGCTGTCTACCCAAAGATTCACAGCCCTACGGAAAACCTTTCTTGGTTGAGCCAAAACAGACAAACAATTGCTCTGACTTATGCCACAGCGCAGCTCTGTGAACGTAGGCATCCAATGCCCGAACTGGACATAGCAGATTGAGACTTACCTGATCTGGGGTATTGAACGATGGAGGACAGAAGGTCTGCAGCAAAATAGGACCCATCACATTAGTAGGGACCTTAGGAATCTATTCCAGCCTTGGGTATAAAAATGCTTTAACCATACCAGGGGCAAATTCCAGACATGAAGGAGCAGTCGACAGAGCTTGAAAATTTCCAATTCTCTTAAAGGTGCAGTGTGTCGTTTTTGGCGGCATCTAGTGGTGAGGCTTGCGAATTGCAAACCGCAAGTCACTCACGGCCTCACCCTCCATTTGCAAACTCTATTTTGAAGCTACGGTCGCCAACGTAGGATAAAGTCAAAGAGAATAAATTATGTTGTCGTCTGAGTCTGCAGAGAGTAGCAAGTCAAGCAATGAGGTTTTTTAAATATTATATTTTATATTAAATTGTATTTACCTAATTATTTAGTAAATCAACATGTTATTGTGATTGTTATTTTTAATTGATCATCATTGTTATAGTGTTTTATTCACTGACCTTACCATAGCTTGTTTCTATGCTAGTTAGTACAAGATAAGAGCTAAGGATAAGAGTATCATCAAAGCAGCTACGTAAGGGGAAATAGTTAACGTTATGATTTCGAAGGCATCACTCGGACAGGATTGTTTATACATGTTTTCAGAGTCAGGAACAACCTGAATACGTACCAGAGGTAACTGGAAGAGGAAGAGGGTGGAGAGGCAGAGGTGTTGTAGGTGCAGTCAGGGAAAGGAGAGGTAGAGGAGGACCTACCCGAATCGATGGCTCAGAGGATGAAGAAAGAGTGTTAGCCCTCCAAAGGAACCGGAGAGCTGTTACTGAGGTTTGTATTTATAAAGTTATTGTAACGTTATTATATTCTGACCTGTCTGCACTTTATAACATCCAAGCACACAGTGATAACATTATTTACATAGTAGCTCTGTGAACACCCCTGGTACTGTAACGTTAGTTAGTAGTTGAATGTTTTCATATGTGTAACCTGTCATTTAGTAGGCAACAATGACCTCCCATGTGAGTGTAGAGATGAATAGATTCTCAGGTAAAATGCACTCGGGAGTGGACGGGCGATCGGAACGGTCAAAAATGTGCGATAAAGAATCGGGTTTGATGTTTTAGAACCCCGGCGGTACGAGAGAGTAAAGTCAAAACGTCCAAAAAAAAGAGTCCACCGAGCCTGCCTGGAATTAAGTCTTTTAGCCTTACGAATGTATTACAAATTCTTGTGATCGGTCCAAACGATAAAAGGTACCCCTGACCCTTCTAACCAGTGGCGCCACTCCTTCAATGCTAACTTGACTGCAAACAACTCTCTGTTACCAATGTCATAATTGCTTTCGGCAGGGGACAAACGATGGGGAAAAAAACGTGCAAGGGTGCATCTTATCGTCTGAAGGAGAGCGCTGGGATAACACTGCACCTACCCCCACCTCTGACACATCGACCTCCACCACAAACTGACGTGATGGATCAGAGGTTATCAGGATGGGAGCTGAAACAAAGCAGCGCTTCAGTTTGGCAAACGCAGCTTCTGAATGTAAAATTCACTTTATAAAAGACCCAGATCTCTAATTTTCATTCATGGAGATAACATGGATCATTTAACATGGTTTAAGGTAAGATTTTTGATTTTTTTTTGGAAAATGCAGTTTTAAAATAAAAAATATCACTTTAACCACTAGATGGCCATAGACCTCCACTATAAGCTATTTGCTATTTGACTAATCAAACTATATATATATATATATATATATATATATATATATATATTTCACAAGTTTTTCCAGTTGGATTCATATCTAAATATTATAAAATCACAATTATAACAAAAAAAACTTTTTGTCAATGTTAAGTATTTTTTTATACTGACAAAAGTTTTTCAATAATTTTACATTATGATTAGAATCAAACCTGAACATGATGTTACAAAGAGAAATGTTGGAGTCTTTAGATTTGATCATTTATTTCAATTATCTGTTTTTAATATAATTCTATAATTTTAAATCAACATTTCATAAAACAAAAATTAACAGAAATGAACAGTTATATTACATATTGAAAAGCATAAAAATGCAATGAACTGAAGAGCAATAACAAGTGAGCAAATAAAGCAGTAAAAAATAAAATCGTTGTAATAAATAAATGATTTCCTAAAAAAAACCTTATTGGATTTTTTTTTGTGTGTGTGAACAGTTAGGAACAATAACTGGTGGTGCACTGGAGGTGTTTACTGGAAGTGTTGCTATTTGAAGTGTGTGTGTGTGTGTGTGTGTGTGTGTGTGTGTGTGTGTGTGTGTGTGTGTGTGTGTGTGTGTGTGTGTGTGTGTGTGTGTGTGTGTGTGCGTGTGTGTGTGTGTGTGTGTGCGTGTGTGTGTGTGTTTATGCGTGTGTAACACATTCTGTCCTTTGGGACTTGCCATAGGCAAGAGGGGAGGAGCATGCGCATAAGTGGATGAAGGGCACATGTGTTTAAAGTCCCCGTGAAATCAAAATTGAACCTATTTACTTTGTTAGCGCATATTACTAG